GTACGTACGAGAGAGAGAGAGAGAGAGAGAGAGAGAGAGAGAGAGAAAAGAGGAGAGGCAACGTGCGAGACGTGCAGTTCGCGAAAGTAATAGTCGCGCACACAGAGAAGCGGTCTGCCCGGCGAATTTTCTGCAAATCCAGCGAAACGCAGTACTATACGAGATTTCCGGCGTAAGTATTAGATCGTGCAAAAAACCGGACGGAGACTGATGGACGCGCACTACACGAGCACTTTTTCGCGGGTGGTCGCCCCCTGGTGGCGGCCGGCGAGACGACCTCGCGCTTACACTTACGTGAATATATCGTGTTCTGCGCGACGAGACGCGCGGCGGCGGCGGCGGCGGCCGCGACGGCGACGACGACGACGGCGACGGCGACGGCGGCGGCACAGCAGCGGCACGTCGACTCCGACCGACTCGGTTTTGCCGACCGGTCACCCGTTCCCGCTCCCGTCCTCATTGATATTAGCATGTGTGTATATATGTGCTGCATACGTGCGCTGCATCGTCGCGAATTTGCTGAAAGACTGATTCGCGATTCGTTCGCATTGCTTTTAACTTTTTTCAGTCTTTCGGAGCACAAACAAAAAAAATTATAAAATTAGAAATATCAAGAAAGAAACGGAAAGTGGGAATAATAAGAAATAAGAAATCGAAATTCGATATTCTCTTTAGATATGTACATACGCACGTGTAAAAGTGGTCATGTGCATGGTCCGAAATCCAAAGGGGGAGAGGATGCAATCCCGTTGCCATCTATATGACGATGCAGGAACACCATTCTGATAATTACTCAGTTGATATTGCAGTATTTATATTATTAACTGTCGATATTACAAAATACTGTTTTAATATAAAACAAACATTTAGATGGTTGATTTTTTTCCATCATAAAGTTTATGTAGTGTGCTTTTCAGCTCATGACACAAGTGTCATTCTGTTTTTGTTCGATATTCAATGAGTAACGGAGAGAATATTTTGTATACCCTTGTCACTAGCTGGAAAGCACGCAATAATCTTTAATCATATTTTTTGTAATCTATTACTTTTATTAATATGTAATGTGTATAATAATATATATTTGTCAATATCGAATATATTATTTTATTTTCTCTTTTCATAAATTATAATAAATAACTCTTGACTGTGATTATATTAAACAAAATATTTTACAAAAGTAAATGGTTGTATGTCGCCATGTGTTCAATGAAGAGTGAGAAAGATGTGTCACTACTTATCTATTCAAAAGTAACTAGACATCTGAAGCGTTGTGTGTGTGTGTGTGTGTGTGTGTGTGTGTGTGGGTGGGGGGGGGGGGGGTGGGTGGTGGTTTGTGTGTGGTGTGATCTTTGACGACATTATTTATCGTACCTCTCTATTTTCTTTCAAATAGAAACAGCTTCCTCCATGTAATTAAAGCAATAAATAAAAGCATGCCGTTCTATTTCAAATATAATTGAAATTGAAACAAATCACTTCACAAAATAATGTTACGTAAAAGAGAGAAAAAAATAGATTTTATATAAATCAAACTTGATGCGGAAATAATTTTCTACGTTAAAGCATGTATATCGAGTACGTGAAATTCATTATCAATTCATCAATTATACCTGATCACGAACGTGTAATCTGCTTACGAAGGGCATTACATCAAGAAACATGTTGCAGGAAGAGACACGATTATCGCCAGTAAGGTCACAATGAATTCGATTATTCGACAGGGATCAAAGATAATCATCCCCCCGTTTCTTTCAGTGTTTAGTCGCTTTTCAATATATCAGAAGACTTTTTGCTAGGCTGAAAGTTGAGGTATCGAGAGAGGCAAGATGGTTGTTTACTCTCTAGGCATGGCGTAAGGTTACAAGTGAGAACTGTGTGGCTGTTGTTCGTAGAACAGTACATAGGCTTCACTGGAAACGACTGAACGCGTCGACACGACTGACACTCGGCTGTCGTTATACTCGTGCCATTCTCCCGAGTATGGGTGCTTGCAATACGCGGTGTAGTGACCCGAGTACGTGGTACCCGAGTGATTAGCAACTCCATACAGATTGTATGTACAGCCCGGAACCCTCGGGGCGGCGAAGGCACTGAGATCCAAACCCGTCAATGGAAAGTCCACCATCACGTTCAGCTTGCCACGAAAGCGTTCCATTGGAGAGAAACGTTTCAAATCTGATGGACAATACTAAGGAAAATACCATTTTACCATGGCGTCATACATACACGCACCATCCTACACTAATAACAAACTAAATTGTTGCTTTGAAATAGCAATTATAAAACGTAAAAAGCAGCAGACCGAAATAGTCTGAGATTTTAACAATAAATGCAATAATAAATCCCCCCACAATTGCACATTTTTTCAACAGAATTAATAATTTGATGTTTAAGACAGTATTCATTAAAAATCGAATCGTACGGAATTATATGTCGTTCTCTTTGACGAATAGTGATGGAATAGTACTAGATTAATTAAAAAAGGATACGAATAACCAAAATTTTCGGGAATTTCTGTATGCTGAAGCTCTTGGTACACTTTCTTCTCATCTGACATTTAGAACACGTAGGTTTCTCGTCGCCATCCAACACTTCCTCTCGAGTGAAGTGCTCCAAGCATTGACTCAGCTTGACCGTGCCGCTTCTGGCCGGTATCGGCAAACTTAGATCCCAGAATGGGTCGAGTGTTACCGATACATGATCGCAGGACGTGCAATGTAAAGATGAACGTAGTTGCCCAACAAAAACGTCGACCACCATACTGTCTTCGCTGCGAAGATACCGCTTCCAACTTTCTACCGCTTTCTGCATATCTCTGCGTATGGAAATAAATAAATAAAAATGTGTTTCAAATGAAACATTTGCGATGTGTAAATATATGAATGGTTGGCTTACGTGTAAGTGTCGGGTATATCTCCATGTATAGGTGGTAGCTTAGTGGTGACTCTATTGACATCTTCGTGCAAACCTTCCAACAAGTATCTGAGGAACTCTTGAGCGTCCTGTTGACTGTAGCCCATGAAACGCGGCGCGAATCTCTGTATCTGGGACTTGAGCGCTGTCGTGTTCACCACATGATCACCGCCCACTTCCCACAATTCGTGGATCACTTGGCTGAACGCTTTGATCAGAGCGCCTTTCATGCCCGATGTGGTAGTGTTTATGTCGGCGAGGTATTGTTCGTTTAGTAAATATTCCAATAGAGGTCTGGTGTTGCTCAAGCATTGAATCACGCTGTTCATAAAACACTGGAACAATTGCATTAACGTAAGAATGTACATAAACGGCTCAAGTTTATCGAAAGAAAAAAAAAAACCAATGTCTCATTAAAGATATACTCACTGTATTTCCAATATTCCGTAAGCCGTTTAGACCACATCGTTCGTCGCGATAAGTTTGTAGTCGGTTGCGCGCCGATCTGTTAGTTGGACTTTCTTCCTGAAATGATTAGATCGCTGTTTATCGCACAAGCATACCTGCTGTACGGCTATTATTAATTAAACGAGAGTGCGTATAGTCCGTATATAGTTGAAAATATGTCTTGCATTGTCTTTCTTCGGTAAAGTGTTGAAATACTTATTGTGGTCGGTGAGAGTATCGCAAATTGCTCGATGAAAAGGGATTTAAGCGTCTCGCAGGATAACAAATTTAGATTACAGAAGCACAAAGTAACAATGTTAATTTTAGTAACACTCTGTTAAGTACACAGGACAACTTCCATGATTCTGAAAAGCATATTCAAACGGGAATAGATTTGCGTTTTAACGCTTGATTCATTATTGGCAAAAACAGAACTGCAATTGATAATCGCAATCCCACGCGTACTCACCTGTAAATATGTAATTGAAGGTCGAACGGCGTGCGGAATGACAGATGGAATGGTCGCTTTACCGACGCGCACTGAATGAAATTTCGAGGAGATACGTTTGGGAGATATGATCAAAGGTGTCGCGATGCCGAGGAAGAAGGCATAAATAGACACGAAGGCAATTACTATCCACAGACACCACAAAGCCCATTCTATCACTTGAGTATGAGCCAGCTTATACGATTACACGCGCGCGATTTCGAAGTGGCAGCGTCTCGAGGAAATTCGCAACTAGTCTGCGATACGATCTAGATTTTTCTCGCGTTGCGCATAAATGTGCCGTGCGTGTAACTGGGAAAAATAGCCAACGTCATTCATTACGTATCACGCTTGCATATCAATACATAATTACAAGTATTTTAACTATCACAGTATCTTGACGATATCATTTTCGTAGAATGCAAAACGTTTACGACTTTTATAGACATGGTTTTGTCATTAAGATATAACGAAAATTTCGAATTCCGATTCTCCTTCAAAATGCAGTGATGAACTAAAATGCAGTGGCAAATTCACAAACTTCATTAATAGGAACAAGTTAATGTACAGTTGTGTACAATTTATGACAACTATATATGTTGACAAAGTAACTACGATCGCTTCACTTTTCCTACAATTGTGAATTATTTCCGAATCGATATAGTTCTGACATCGGAGAATCTCTGCACAAAGAATACTGCGAAGGAACCCACTGACAACATGCCTCTATCTCCCGGAGATTCGAGAAGGAAAGAGAAAGAGCTGTGGGCTATAAATAAAATGCAGCGACGCCCGCGACTAACTTCGAAGACGATTGGAGACGGCGAGAAGGCAGAGATTTCATAATGAGAGCGGCAGGAAGTAAGTGAATCGCGTGTAATGCGGCGTAGTTCTTCTCGCTTGATTCATATCGAGGCAGTATTGAGTCTGCGTATGAACAAATAGATCGAAAAGGGAGCAAATTCTTATTATAGTATTTTCTTATAGAAAGATATTCCACAACGGCAAAGACAAATAGTTGATATCTTAATCGATATGTAACTTCAAATGCATATGCTCTTCTCGTGAGGATTATTTGAAGATGATTCCCACATTACGACTGTGGATACACAAAGCTACACGCAAGAGAACTCTATGACTTATATGGTTAATATAGAATTTATAAGCACCGGAAAATCTATCCTTATTCCATTTACCTCTTTGAGACTCGATCGCGACGTACTTTCATCCATAAGAACATACTCACGTCATTGGCGCTACCGTAAAGTCTGTCGTCATGCGATTATCAATGTCGAAAATATAAGCCACGACACAGCATCGATCAAGTGTTTGAGAATTATTAATAAAAAATCAGGATAATTGTATGCAAAAACGTCCATTATCGAGGACCAATTAAACATCTAGAATATGAATGAATATCGAGAATTGAACCCGATCTATGCTGCACTGTGACAGAGTGTACTATTCTCTTTACAAGCGCACTCACGTATTGTTCGTTGACACCACGGTAAATACTTTGATGCACCGTGGATACGTTCGTCGGTGACGATGTTAAATTGCCGCTTGCCGTCGCCGAGAAAAGACCAGGTTGCTCCGCTCTCCTCGATGTCGAAGGGATCGACGGATCGTCGCCGTGCGTAACGAATGGTCTACCAGCTATGCTGTCTATCAGCGGTGAACCGTCGAGATCACTGTCGTCCGAAGCAGCAGACACATTATTCCTGTCATCCTCGCCATTTTCGGAGATCTTTCGGTTGCGACCACCTTGTAGAAACGCGATTGCGTCGATCGACGGTATGTCGTCGGCACCGTGTATTACCTCGTTGTTTGTCGCGTTCTCAAGCTCCTCCTCCTCCTCCTCTTCTTCTTCCGCCCCTCCTGTCACCTTGTTCTGAGCGTTGTTATTGATCAGCAGCAATTCAGTGTTACGAGGATTAGTCGCGAGGTTAGTTAACAAGTCAAGGCTATTAACATCGATCAAACCACCACCACCAGCGGTGCCGGCGGCGGGAGAGAGGTTATGCTTAGGCGAGACCTCGTTTGGTTGATAGCTGCGCTGTTTGCGGAAGCGGTGGTGATGGTTGTTGATATCGTCGTCGTCATTGCTGTCGTCGTTGTCGACGTCGACATCATCGTCCTCGTCCTCGTCGTCGTTGTCGTCGTCCCCGTCGTTGTCGTTGTTGTTAACGCCGTATCCGCACACGATGCCCTCGCCGTCACGCCCGCTGATGCCGATATTGCTGTTGTTGTTGTTGTTGTGCTGATCGTCGTCATTATTTACGTCCTTGGTATCGTCGTCGTTGTCGTCGTCGTCATCGTCGTCTTTTAGCTTACGGCTAATGTGATCGTCGGTGGTGCTTGTTACCTCGCTGAGAGACACGGCGCTATCCGCGCGTGTATGCCCGACGGTGGTGAGCACCGTGCTGCTCGCAGGCGGTCTCCTCTTGCTGGATCTCGACGACCACAGTCCGGTTGCGCCGCCAACGACAGCGGTGGACGAAGAGGAAGACGACGAGGAGAGCGAGGACTCCGGACGGAGATCCCTGCGCTCGACCTCACGCTCGTCACCGCCAACCAACTCGCTCAAGGACGATGACGTCGAACGGTACTTCCAGTGATGCGTGCTGCCGCTGCTCGCGGTTTGTTGACGTTGTATGTTCGGCACGTAGCCGGCTGGCGAGTACCTGCTGATGATATCTGCGGTCGTGTCGATGTTGCTACGCTCCCTCGTGGATGAGGACGAGGCACTCGATGGGGATGAAGCGTATCTGCTGCTGTTACTGCCGCCGCTAGTGCCGTTAACGATCGTTGTTAACGCAGCACCATTGCTGCTGCCGCCCGTTTCGCCGTACGACGACGACGAGACTGACCTGCAAAGAACGCTCGATGTGAGAATATCGCGGTCATATCGCGTTTTCGTTTGGGCCCGCAGCCAACGGCTCTGCTCTCCTACACCGTAATTGTCGTTATGCAACGCGAGTATAGACGCGTGTTTTGCTATCTGGCGAGACGCGTGAGCACACGCGAACACGCTCGAGCTACGAAACGTTTCCGCTGCGCCAGCGACTAAACGGAACTACTTTACACTTCGGGGTTTAGAGGTCACTAAATCAGATGCGTGACATCGTTTACGGAGGCGCGACAACTTGGGGAACGTCAAGGCGTTCGTACTAGTTACTTAAATATATTCTCTCATCGCGTTGCGCCGCGCCCGTGAATTCAGGGTGTGGTGTGTCATCGGGAAGTAACTGAACTATATTAATTCGAAGAGAAAATCTGTGTAAGAGTATCTTTTAAAAAGCGCATACGCCGGGGGATCTTGTAAGGTCAAGGTCTACGACTTATGTTCCGTGGCGCGCGAGCGTGCTTATTTAAAATCGATAAATGCTATACGCGCTCGCCTCGAGAAATAATAGCAGCAAGTATAATATTTCAATGATGCTTCGTAGTGGATATATTTCATTCCTATCATCGCTTTCACGATGAATGAAGATAGTTCCAACAATTTTTCAATTATTCAAGATTTATTTGAAACTTTACGAAATAAATGTGTGCAACGTCAGACAATATCTCAAATTTTTTTACCATTTTTTAATCAAAATATCCGTTGTTTAACATTTACTTAAATTTTTATAGATTAATCGGATAAAAGTCAGATAATTTTATCTAATTATAGGAAAACTTTCAAAAAATTTACCAAAAATTGAATATAATTAGATAAATATTATAAAAATCGTATTTGATATTTTGCGAAATAACAAGTAACAGACGTAGCATGGTTGTGGTCTCAATCTTTACATGTCAAACTAACGCCAGGTACTTAGAACTCGTATAAAGGTCAACATACACATTATCTCGCTTTCATAAATGTATTATAATGATCTGTGAATACAAAAGTAAGTGGCGTTTCGCACGAGACCTTGGATATAATCATTGAACTTTATACATACTAAAGCGCATCGTGCTCCTCAAGACGCAAGATGACGAAAAGAGCACTCGATTAATCGTGTCCCTTTCAGTTATAGGCCTTTTTCTTTAGTGCACCGACCAAACTTTTAATGGTGATTATACCATCAAAGATGGAGGCTTTCTGTAAGCCTGCGAAGGAAAGAAACAAAATTAACTAACCAAATGCTTTCTACGCCGTCTTGCACGCTTATACCAGGTTTATATAGAAAGATGCATTTCAGTATGTATTTCAGAGTTCAATGACGACAAAAGAGTAGTCACTTTCTTTTATGGTGCGTTTTGAAATTCATCGAATAAAAACTGTCACAATTTTTTTTCTACTGAGTGTATTCGCTGCCAATAAGTACAATTAGAAGGCCAAAGACATCGTATTTTACTAAAGAAATAAAAATAAAACGACATTTAATTTATCGTAGAATAGCAGCACACAATATTTTCTTGCACACTTAGTGGAGACTTTAAATGCTAGATTTCACGTAGATCGACGTAGAAAGAAGAGGCATTGTTCAACGTAACTGCATGGTACGCTTCTCGATTCACTGGACCTCATCGTTGAACCGAGACTACTTTCTCCATGTTGTTAACAACAATGTGAGACAAATATTACATCTGTGACTGAATAAAATGTATTTTCTCGATGATTTGGCTTAAAGAGAATTTATCTGTCTGAGAGAAGAAATCTATAATCAGAATATTTACTTAATTATCAAAGTTAAAAAAGCATCGAAATAAAATGGAAAGCCAACGATTAATTACAGAATAAAGAAAAAAAAAATCCTTCAACAATTTTAATGAAAATTTACTAGACAGGAAAAAATTCTCTGAGCATTACAGTAGACGTTCTGATGGCCAATGAAAAGAGGAAGCGTTTCTTGTTTTGTTTTGTCGAAAATCAAGATACTAACCTTCCTGACGTGCAGTAGGATCGCCTGTATTCCGATGTCAAGTAGTTTGAGCGCAGACCCGAACCCGAGGACGACGTGTAGAAGCTGATGGGTCGGTCGAGGATCGAGGTCGTCCCGGTCGTGCGATAGGTGTTGAATTTGGACGTCGAACTGCCGATTCCGGAAGTGGTCGTCTACCGCTGCTGGTACCGCTCGATATCTGCGGCTGGGGGAAGTGCGGTGGCATCGGCTGGTGCTGTAGGATACCGCTACGGCGCCCGCCTGCCCGCCGCGATGATACGACATTGCGCGCCGCGGGTCACCGATCACTTCGAGTTCTTCCGGCGAGTGCCTGAAAGTCATTTTTACTGCACTATTCTCTCACGTAATATCTAAAAAAAAGAAATAAATATAAAAAAAATATAACGCAATTACAATAACTATGTATAATATTTTCGACAAGATGCAACATTATACACGATATCATTATACATGTTCATTGTGATTTCAAAACGAGCGCTTGTTTTTTTTTAGCGTCGCAGTATGATACTCGCAGCTTAAGAGGATGCTGAAGTCATATTGTTACCGACCGAAACTTCAATTTTCTAAAAAGGGTGGCGTTTTTTATTGCTTTAATAGAATTACAAATCCTTTGGTGTAAATAAAGTACATATGCTAATCTTTCGGCAGTTGGTCAAATTTAAACCAAAAATAAAAAAATTTTTGAAAATTTACCGACAATGTCTGCTCTAAGAATTATATCTTTTATATCAAAATTATACTGCTTCAATCTGCAAAACAAGACCATGTGCCGAAGAAGAGCGTATGAAACAATAATGGAAAACCAAAAAAATAGAGCTTAGAGACTTATTTTCAAAACGCCACCCTTTTCCAGATTTATGTAAAGCATGTGTGCAATATAGAAAGAATAAGGTAAAAAAGAGCTATAGATTAGTTCCGAGATTTTGGGATAGAGGCGCTATACAGTTCTCAGTGCTATCTGTCATATACAGAATCTTTTAGGTTAGTTATGTGTGTGTTAGTTGTGCGTGTGTGTGTGTTTGTGTTATGTGCTACGAAACCCGGCTAGAAAAAAATGGGTTGAAGGCACTCTGAAGGATAAAAAAGTGTATGTATTATACATAAATTTTGCAACATTTTTGCAAACATTTATATTATTTAATTACATACATTCATATTCTAATTTCTACAAAATACTTTTATTCATGTGCTTTATGTGTATATATTATGTATATTCTGTGCTCCATATTATGTATATT